ACAAAATCTCACCCTGGACTGAATATGGGAAGAAAACATTAGTCCTTTCAAAGGGGCAGTCATCAGAGATCAGTGACCATCAAAGTGCTTTACTTGGGGAAAAAGAAAGAGGCCAAATTTCAAGATAGCGCAGTCAGTCAGTGAGAGTGGAGTGCTTGAATCTGCTGGAATTTTTTTAAGTCATTCACAAATACTATATCTACCCTTGACAGGTCATTTCATTCTATTTAGCACTTTTTATTCTCTGTGGTTTATAAGCTCTTAAGCAAATGTAAGAGGGAGGAAAAGCTAACGTGTCTGATAATACACTATATCAGGCTGACAACCTAACCGAATTTCCCCTGTGGTGCTAGCAAAATGCCGTTCCAAAAAGTAATAATGCATACAGGAGAAAAAAAAAAAAGGAAAGAAAAGGGGGGGAAAGGATCATAGAGATCATGCCGTCACATTTAATTTCAGAGAACAAAACCTGAAGCTGATTTCTCTTTAGATCAGTTGTATACCAGTTGGAACATGGGTGCCTAGCACTGCGACATAGTAATATGATCTGAGCTTTAAATAGCTGCCAAATAACCATGTGGTGGCTGGCAGCATTAAACGTGTTGCAACGAGAATGATCTGTTTCAAAGTAAAGCCACATAACAGAGGATTAGTCAATCTGATGTGGTGTAGAAAAGGAGGGGGGAACGTTTTTCATTATCCTTCTGGGTTTCTTTCTGGTTTAAATGTGTTTCCATCTCAAAGATGCATTAATTTAAGCTCTTTTTCTTAACCGGTTTAATGCAGGTCATTTCAGATAACATCTCCTTGCACACCGAGGTACAAGGGGTGTGTGGGGGGGATAACAGTGTGACAAATGTGAAGTACCAGCACTGAGACCATTCCCTTGAATTAGCCCAGTACATAGTGACTGCCTCTCAGCATGAAAGGCACCTTTCCTGTGCAGAGCCCCCCCTCCACCTCCACAGTTGGTAACAAATGCATCCTTACCAGATTTTAGGAACAGACAAGGAACGGATCTATAGCAAATAACATGGGGTGATTTGTGCTCCAAGCCCTGTCCTTATCCTCACAGGTAAACGAAGAGCCTTGCAGCACTCCGTGAGCCCCTCTGGGTTCTTTGGGATGTAGGGGGAAAAACAAGTGCAGTTTGGAGATTTCTAATATAGGAGACACTGCCAACCCTCCATTCCTTCTTACCTTCACATCAAATGGCTTTCCTGATCACTATTGTAAATGTGCCCCCTGGATAGATAAGGCACATAAGGACTGGAAAGATAGACCAGGAATGATCTTAAACTGGTAATGGGAGCAAGAGACACAGAGGGAAAAGTGGTGCTGTAAACACTCGTAATTCTTCATCCCTTCTGTCACTTTTGATTATAGATGACTGACTTCTGTTTTCAATTTCAGTGTCTCCACCAAGTTCAGCTGCATCAGTCAAGACTTACTGTAAGTTAACACAGCAGAATTTCATGTGAACATACTTTATCTACTCTTCACTGCCTGGAAATCACACTGCCAGAAGGACAGATAGGAACAGGAGAACCAGAGGAGAACCAGCTGCTTCATCAGAGGGTAAATAGCTTATTTAGGAGGTTCAATATGACTTCTTAAAAGATAATAAGCACAACATACTTTGCAGCCAAGATTTTTCTAGAATGGAGACAGCATTAGATACTACTTACAATTTTCCTATTAGCAGTTGACTAGCACACTACAGAGTACAGTCTCAGTTACTGCAGCTAGGCACCCTGTGGAGAAGTAAAGCAGGCTTTTTTTGCATTTCCTCAGAGGAGAACATTGCTTTACCTCACCATTGTAAATGCCAATGAATAGCCACATATTTCACAAAGGTCAGCTCCAGTGAAAACTCCAGCAGCAGCCTCAATGAGGCTGACTGATTTTGTCCGCAGGTGCCTTCACCACGTTGTGACAGTGCATCCCCCAGGAATCCACAACAGCTGCAGAGCAGGATGGCAGAGGGAATCACAGAGGGATACTTACCTGCCTTTTTCTCCCTCCTTTCTCACCTTCCTCTACTTGTTTTCTCACTGCCTCCTTTTTGGGCAGTCACGGTCCTTGCCATGTTTTCACTGGACAAGCAGATGGTTGTCAGATTGAAAGTAATCAGAGAATGCTTCTTACTTACTCTTGTTTCTTTTGCCATCACTTTTTCAAACACATTTCTTAGAAAAATTAATCTCTTTTCTTCCAATATGATGACAGGCTATTAAGCCAGAGAGGCAATTATTAAAAAAAAAAAAAAAAAAAAAGGCAACAAATGAACAAAAAAAGAAAACGCAAAACCAACCAAACAAAAAACCAACCAAACACAAACTCCTATGGACTTGGGAGAACACATTTCTTTGACCAACTTCACAGAATATTTTGATTACAGTGTTTAATCCCCTTTACAATATTTTACACAGCTCTCATGACAATCCCTGCATCCCTGCCAAGGACTTTCTAGACAAAAGCATGTCTGGAAGAATGGCACAGAGCAAGTCTCCTTAGCTGGTCTGTCTTCCACGAGTTCTTACAAACACGTTCTCCTGCACACATTTCTTTAATTAAATCAGAAGAACAAGAGTTAGACTGTGGTTTTAGTCCATACAGAAATGCCTCCACACCACCCTCAACACCATTCCTTGGTCTGCAATGACTACCTATTACATATCATGTGCTTACCTACATACATGTTTTGGAGGGAGCAAGCAACCTTCCCCACCTTTTCAGAAGGAACCTGACTTTCAGTTCTGCTACTAAAAGAAGACAGAATCCAATTAAAGCAAATGGATAGAGCTACAGACTACTGCCAAAGTGTGAGTTTGAGTGAAGAATTAATGAGGACTCAAGCAATTTCTACTGATGCCAGGAAGGCTTCCGGATGTTTCTAAGGAAATCCTCAGAAACACCTCGGATCTTCAATGGCCATTACATCCACAGTCTGACCCAAAGCGTTGCCTCCAAGACAGGACATCTTGCCCACAAAAGTACAACTAATTTAGCTGCATAATGAAGAGAGTTCTGAAGATGCACATGGGCTGAATTAAGGGCACCATGGGAGACTTTGGCTCATTCCTTGCAGAGTTTATTAGTTGCGGCTGCACACATGGTTAGGTTTGCTGGAAGAGGTCCAGCTCTGAGGCACCACTCAATTCCTCCAGCTTCCAAAAGCTGCAAGAAAGTGGCTCAAGTGTATTGCCCCCTCTAAGCTCTTGTGCAGAATGACTCTCCCCTGCAGAGAAGGAGACAGGGTTTGGGAGGGGTACCTAATCAATAACTCTTGATTATTGAATTTACCTTCACAATTACCAGTGAGTATCCTAGACTGTAAAGAGGGTAAATACCAACAGATTGTATTATTTGAGAAACAGTATGTGATTGTGTAATTAAGGGCATGAATATAATACCATATGCACAAGGGCCAGGATTAATTTCAGCATTTCCTAACTAACCCACGGCATTATGGTGTAACCCTAATGTTCTCCGGATGGCTATCATTTATGTGGAGTTCATATATATATATATATATGCTTATGAATATTTGGTTGAAATTCATCTATCATACTCTCTGACACAATAATTAAAAACACTGTGTTAGCTGCCAATAAAAATATTTTTGTGATTTGGTAATTATTCTAAACCTCCCAACTTCCCTACCTCCCACCCTTGTTGTCTTCCTGTTCTAAAATGTATAAAGCTAATCTTGATGATGGAAAAATAAATAAGTAGCAGGAAAGGCTGGAAAGCTTCCAATCACAAAAGCTCCCAAAATGGAAGTAATATCCAATCTGGCCCACCACATCTTCTATGTGGGCATTCCTTTCCTGCCTTTTAGTGATACTTTTAGTATTCATAACAGCTGTGGAATTAAGCATTACGAAAAAGAAGAAACCAACATGCAGCCTTTACTTTTCCCCATCAGTCCCCAGCTATTCTGCATTGAGTTACAAAGTGAAAACCAGCACATTCTCAGATGGATTTAATTTCAGCTTGGGCCCAATGCCAGCCAAAGTTTCCCTATTGTTAAAACTCAACCCCGTCTTTTCCATACCACGCATACAGTCTCATCCTTATCCCATCTTCCAAACACATATGTGTGCACACACATAAACACATGGAGAAGCAGCCACTCCTACAATATTGAACCAAATCCACCTCCCCTGCTGTCTTAGCTAGGCTCATTGCTTTCCCTAGGAGGCCTAGTAGGCGAGTTGGATTTGGTCTATAATGCATATTTTTAAAATTTGGGAAAATGAAGGCTGCATAAGACACACATTTTCATGTCCTAGATATTGTCTTGACAATAAACCATTTTTAATAAAAAAGTAATTTTACACAACCAGGAAAATATTTGTTGGAGGAGCCAATTATTCCACAGAAAAATAAAAGGGTTAAAACTTAATTAAATTCTTAATGCTGTAATTCAAAATACAATTTTGGCATAACTTCAGCTAGTGATTGTACTACAGCATTTTGACTTACACAGACATGCAACACATATAGACTTCAGAATACAGAAGTATACAGCTTTCAAATGCATACAGAAAAGAGAAATGGGTAATGGAAGCAGTTAAGCCTTTACACATTCATGGCAATTGTCTTCTCTTACGTCCTCTTCTCATGGATCTGCATGAACAACTGCACTCTATTTTTATAAAGTGCAGACATGTTTTCTTCCATTAAAGCTAAGGCAACTAGTGGAAAACAGGAGAGGAGGTAGATTGAATTACTGTGTTTGAACGTTTGCCTTCTCCTCTGCTTTGTGCCATTCTCTACAAACAGAAGCACAAAGTAAATGCTAAAAGATAAATGTATAAAATCTTGATTTGGGCCACTTCATGATGGGCTTTATTTGAAAAAAAAAATTGTCTTCTTCTGTTTGCAAACCTAAAAAAATGCTGCAAATAGTACAATCTGGAGAACCACATGTGTACTTCTAAAGAATTAAAAACAACTAATTGGGACTAGAGGTAGTTTCTTCCTGTAGTGAGTTTTGTATCTTTTACCCTTAAACAAGCAGTAGAAGAACTTCCAGAAGTCTGCCTCCATAGTTAGCATTGCCATAATGGTAATAATGTATAAAATTGTGTTCCAGTTTACACTCATCACAAAGTTTCACAAGTATTCCTGTATTCCTTTCAGCAGTGTACAACTAGTCTGAATGTAAATAAATGTGACGCCCTACCAATAGGAACAGCATTCCTGCTAATAAAGCAAAAAATACTCCTATAGGAGCCAGCATAAAAGACCAGCCATAACGTACATAAACAGCAAAGTCTGGGCAATCCATTTTTTTCATGTTTGTGTAGTTTTCCAGATCAGCCATGGCCTGGACCCAGATGACATACATCACAACTACCAGCGAAAACAAGACACCTGAAAAAGAAACACCAGGTTTTAACAATAGAGTGTGAAACAGGCGATAGGTGCATTTACTGTAATACCTAAAAATCCACCAGTGCTTGGGGCCCTGTCTGCAAAGCACAGTCAGCCACTACTGGACAATTTTTGCCTTTGGCTTCCTCTAACTACCACTATCTCCATCTTGCTTCTGATTGTCACTGAAAGGCATACTCCCATATCTCCAAAAGGACATATCTGGTTTTTGTAGGCAGACTTTAAGGACAAAATTCAGGCAGGTATTTACTGGTTTGAATTCAGGGATCAAAGTGGGCGAGGGAGGGGGAATGGGATGGGACAGTCTGGGAAAAAAAAATCTACTTTTACTTCCCAAACTCTGACACTGTTTTTATCAGTCTTTTGGATGAGATATGGAAAGGAGTGGGAAATTTTTCTACCATCTTCCCCTCTCTGCATTTACATATTTATTCTTATATAAAGGGCTTTGCTTGGAACATACAACCTTCAGCATATTCTACTCAAACACTTTGCAGAAAAATTCAAATGTCTTTAATTCAAAATTATCCACATTTAGAAAAGAAGCTATTGTTACAGGAACAAAGACCAACAATAACTAAATAATAGCTATGAAGTAGGTTATTAGTATTAACCTCAAATTTTATACAACAGTTTCCTGTAATTAATCCACCACATAATTCACAGCCTTTTCCCAACCACTCCTCTGGATTGTTTACACATGATAGTAATAGGAGCACTTGTCCTTATAAACTTTTTTAATGTCCAATTTTCTATATACCAGGAGATACAAGAAGAAAGTGCTTTCCAAAGTATCAGTTGCATTCCTAATATTTCATTTCACTCTAGAGGAATGTGGACACTTGAGAAATGCAAGCCTGCAGCACAGATGCTCCAGCAAAAGATTTGCTGGAAAACTGAGGGCACAAGTCTAAATTTTTTGCATGCTCCAGCCTGTACCCATTTGCTCCTTGAGCTCCAGCTGTCCCAGCATAGTTACAGCAGCAGGACTATCTATTCCAACATTAAAATATTTGAGGAACACAAACCCACCCTGTTTTTACCCCAGGATATTTAGGTGCCTCATTAAAACCACAAGCCAGTGCATAGTCCTGGGAACACTTAACTGCCAAACTTGAGCCTAAAGGCTGTAGAGCTGCAGAGTACAAGTCAAAGGTATTTGTGACCTCTTCACCATCCTACTAAATACTTGCAATGCAACCTTGAACAAATATGACATTTGTGGCAAAACCCAGAAATACAACTTTTAAGCACCCATGGCCAGGCATTTTCTTCCAGACCCACATGTCCTGGTAACTGTTGATGGCTACCTTTCCCCACCCCCAACCTGAGATGCTGCTTCACAACCTCCTTTCCCCATCCTTTCTGCCCACTAAGCAGGGAGCACCTGTTGTCCTCACTCTCTCATTTGATTCAGACAAAGCCAGACAGGTTAGATGCAGCAGCTTAACTTGCTGATCTAGTCACCTTCTTGTTGATGCTTTATGGTCAAAATGTAATAGTTTTACATATATCCTGAACATCTGACAGATGAGAGCTCGTGACTCAATGCTTGTAAACACTGTCTTTTGAAGCCCACCAAAAAAAGAGCTGAAGTAGTTAACATGAGGCATAATCAAAACATAACTGAAATTTCCAAAGGATCTGCAATTTTTAGGAGGCTGAAAGAAAAGTAGAAAAACTAAATAAAGAAGGAGGCAGACACACTTCCTCTCTGTGAAATACACTTCCAGAATTATATTTTTTGCTAGGGCTCAAATTTCTAACACAGTTTGGAAAAAAGAAAAAAACCACAACTCTAAAAAGCAAAAATTCAATTTGGAAAGTATTTTACCTAAGTAAAACTCAATTTTGATAGAATTTAGTACCGTAGTTGTATTAAACATAAAATTGGTGAAATAATCAGAGAGAAAGATCACCTTAAGGCCAGACATGAAGAATGAGAAATTAAATTGAAGACTCTCCAAATGTAATTCAAATTGAGTCAGAAGATTCCTAGAACAGAATGTCTAATGATAACAGATAAAATGGGCATTATAAGAAAATTAGAAGCAAACACAGTTAGTAGCTTTTGATTTAAAAAGTAAAAAGATTCAGGGCCAAATTAATAAATGGAGTTACTAGATACGCGGATTTTGCTCAAGGTTTCAAAATTTGAGTACACACAAAAAGAACATAGCCCAAAGATTTGGAAAGATACATGGAATTTACCTCTTCAGCTGGCTGTAACTATGCATTTTCAAATTAGTCCTCTATTATTCTCTACACTGGGGAAAACTTAGTCCAAAACAATAATAATAACAAAAAGTAGTGGTGCATATTCCCTTATTATAGCAGCAGGTAAGTATAACCAGGCCTTGCATATCTGGAATGCCTTCTGGCATCCTGGGCAGAATCAAAGCTATGTAGGCCACTTATTCAGAAACATCTGCCGTTAAAACAAGACTGTGTCAGAGGTGCTTTAATCTCGAAACGGTCACCCATTGCTTTTCGGGCAGTCTGAAGAAACACCTAAGTGACTAAACTAGAGCCAGCACTATGTAGGTGCAAAATAGCAGGCCAGTGCTGCCACACTGTGCTACCACACGTGGTAAAGCAACTTCAGGGAAGCTAACATCCACCGGGTGTGATTTCACAGCAAGTTGTTATACCTGTGAGTGGCAAATTGCTGGGTATGGAAATTTGCAGAAGAAATGTATATCAAGCGGAGATAAATGTCCTTCTTTAAAAGAGGAGAAAAAGAGAGGAAGAGCATGTAAATCCTTTTGGCTAATTAGGGCACTAAAGGAGTATTTAAGTGTTCTCACTACCCGCTAATGGAGACTAATTAGTAGGTGTATTAGTGTGTTCAAGAAATATCTTGAACAGTAGAATCAGGCCAAGTAAAAACTGACCATGTCCTGTTGTCTCAAACAGTATTTTATTCATTAGTGCTTCTTTTGTGTGATTTTCACAGAGTTATGATTTTACAAGAGTTAAGCACTTAGACAGGAGTCTATAAATATAGAATAAATATATATTTATTCTGAGAAATCTGTTTCTGCAGTCTTGCACTGACTATCTATTGGGAATGTCATGAACTCTCAAAGCCAAGACAAAACTAATGAGACTCAAAAAAAATTCCAAAATTTCATTAAGCAAATATTTTTAGGAACAATGTATGCTATTATTTATTTCTACATTTTTAGCGTTTAGACCTTTTGCATAGTGTGCGGGCATCCTTTTGCCCTTGCCTCTTAGTGAATATAAAATGAACCAGCAGTTGCAAGAATCAGGAATGACGGGGAAAATTACTCAAAGAACATGAAATATGTCTGAGAGAGATTAAGACACATAAATACTTCCTTCCTACTCCTTTTTCTTTCTTTTTTTTTCCAGTTTTCTTTTTCTTTTTCTTTTTTTTTTTTATAAACACATGTTTGATACACAGCTCTGTGCAGTGTGATAAGACATGGGACTTCTCTGAGGTCACACTTTTCTGTCTTTTGCATTCATTCTTTTGAATTTCTTTCAAACAAATACTTGTGCATATTGTTGAGGAGAAAGAATACAGAACCTTTAGAAATGTCTGTGAATTCAAGAAGCAGTTTGCTGGCCTTTGGTACTGATTCTTCCCACGTAGAAATGCCTTTCACTTGTCAGTGGTGAATGGCTGTTTATGGCATGAATCTTTTACTATGCAGACAAGAAGACAACAGGTGCTGGAAAGAATGATGTGAGCTTTTTACTTGTGCCTAGAAGTTTAGAACTCTTTATCTCACTTGAGGAAAACTTGTATGTGTGTGTGTGTGTGTGTGTGTGTGTATGTTTTTTTTTTTTCAACTGCATTTTTCTGCTCTTGTCCTTATTTCAGATTCTATCACCTACCTTGGCCTTTCAGTGATCTTTATTTAAAAAGACTGGTTGACATTCCACACCAAGTACATGCAGATAATCCCATGTAAGAGTTACAGGAGTTGGCATATGTCTCTGAAGACAGATTTTTGTCCTCATCTAGGATATACAATTAAAGTATCAGGGTTTTTTCACTCATTTGGCTGGAAGCAGAAGTCGTACTTCTAATCTTGCTTCTTCACCAGGGTGTGATTCTGTAATGCTCTGGGCACATCCTGCAATATTGCTTGTTGACATCAGTATGATAGGACAGTTTTTACCACCACACAGGCAGAAAGAGATGCAAGATAAGTATGGACTTTATTGAAGGCTGCTGTAAGTGATTATTTTATGACCACTTTCCCTTCTTTTCCTATGACCTTTGAAGCAACTATAAGGCTTCTTGCAGTTTGCAGTACTGTAGTTGCTCTTGGACCAGCCTGTGATATTTTAGACATGAAGGTGAGGCTGCAAAGGCAGCACTCGAGTCAGACTGTGGTAACATTGAACTCATATGCACTCTTCCCCCACAGGTATAGCAGCTGTAGTTTCACCTCCAGCCTCAAGAGGTTCATGAGGTTACAAAGATTAATAAGGAAAGTTGCACCAAATAATTTTGTGTTCTGCTCCATTTTTCACAGCTTATCTACACCACTCATAAGAGAAGTGAGCAGCCTTTCTTAAAGATCAGGATTAGGAAAAGGCACCTTCCACAGGTCAGACATGAGAACTGCTCTGTGGGCAGGTTTGTTGTTTTCCTGGACCCCAGATATACAACACTGTGAAGAAGCCTCCAAGGTTCTTTGACCTCTCTGCAGTTCATCCACCTGGGCACCAGTGATGCTGTCACCTCAGTGGGCAATTATAGGGCCTTGAGGGTGAGAGATAAGAGACCAGGACCCAGGTGATGATGGTTTCAAACCTATTGCCCGAAGGGTAAAAGCTATACAAAAGTTGCTCTACACTGTGTATCAGCTCCTAGCTTTGTAGCTAGTGTCACAAGCAGGGCTTTGGCTTCTGTGACTACAGGACCCTCTTTGAGAAATGAACATTTAAAATGGGGTGGGATGGCTGCAGTCTGCAGAAATAATATCTTGAACGGGATCTTCTAAATAAGAGGAGCTTATGGGTTAAGATCAACCAGTTGGCTAAAAGGGTGCTGTCATCTGCTACAGGCCACCCAATGAAGAAGATACAGTGGACTGGAAAAATAATTATGAGTTCTGGTTCTCATGAGAGACTCGGTCACCCCAATACCTTCTAGAAGAGCAGCACTGCAGAGAGCAAGCAATCCAGGAGGCAAGTAGCTAGAGTGCATCAAGAAAAACTTTTTGAAAGAGCTGTGGAACAAACCAAATAAATGGAAGTGCTTTGCTGGATCTGCTACTCATAAATAAAAAAAAAAAAGGGGTCAGGAAGATGATAGATGGTGTTAGTTGTGGTTATAAAGGCCAAGGAATGGCAAAGGTTAGTGTCCTAGGAAGAATGTGGAAGATAAGAGATTAAAGACCCAGAACTTAGGAGAACACACAGTCTGTGCAGGGAACTGGTAGGCAGTATCCCAAGAGAGACTGCCGTGAAGGGCAAAGATTGCCCAGAAGAACCAGTTGCTCCTCACAGCCAGCTTTCTTAAAGGACAAGAATGCTCCCTCTCAGTGTGCAAGAATTCAGTGAGGTCTGACAGAAATAAAAATTAACCTCATACAGAGCCACATTAGCAAAAACACCATCATCAGGTTTGAAAATACTATTGTTTCCCTTTATTCAACAGTTGTGATATTGTGTATGGAAAACTGTCCAGTTTGGGGACCCCTGGTGAAAGAAACTTACTGATAAACTGAGGTGATGACTATCAGAATGGTTAGGGGGATGGAGAACAAGAAGAGGCTGAGTGAGATGGGGAATTTTAGTATAGAGAAGAACCCAATCTTCATCTTTCTAAATAAAGTTACAGAGAGGATGGGGACAGACTTTTCAGAGACTTGTAGAGTTGAAAGGATGAGACACAATGGTCACAAACTGCATCAAGGACAATTTCAGGTGAAAACAAGGAAAAAACATTTTTCACAATGAAGCTGGTTAATCTGTGACAAGTGCCCAAAAGTGCTGTGGAACATCAGTAATTGAAGATTTTAAAATCTTGATTGGATAAGGCTCTGAGCTGCCTGATCTAACTTTGAAGCCAGTCCTGCTGTAAATGTGAGGTCAGACTTGATTGCCACAAGAGGTCCTTTCCAACCTAAATTTATTTGTGTCACTCAGGATCTCTGTTTTGGCTTCTTCCATGGGTTCCTCTAAATGGCAAGTCCATCTGCCTTATGCCAGATAAGGTGAGGTGTCCCTCTAAGTCTTTCTTACTATTGACAATAGAAATTTAAGCAGTTGGTTCATGTAAAACAGCTTTCAGATGGCTGAACAGTTGGCGTGAATCTCATTCCCAATAATATCTTCAGCTGTTTCCAGAACCCTAAGGCATCACAGCAGACCATGCTACAAGTACTCTTCAGTTGAGGCAGAGCTTTTATCTGCTGCCTAAGTTGTCAGTTAAGGCTGAAGAAGGATAAAGATATTTCAGTCCAATAACAGGTATTAAATTTATTCCATCTACCTTTTTTTCAAGATATGTAAGTAGGAACATCAATAATCTTCCTATCATCTTCCTAACTTCTACAGAACAACCATCTTGTCTAATTTCATTCTCAGAAGATTATTTTCTCCAGTATAACAGATGCTTGAACTTTGTGGTAAGACAGCATCCAGGCTCTTTCAAAACAATGTATATAATTCCTTTTTTTCTTCAAATCAATCTGCTGGTTCCTGTCTTAGAAGAACTCTAACTTCACCTACAATCTAAGTCACATTACATCTTTTCATTTTGCCATTAGGTCTGTCTTTAAGTAGATGCATACCCTGGCTGCATCCTGATCATATGTTTGTATGAGTGGTAAATATGCACCACTTCTCATCACTTTCCCCTACTATATCCTGTTTTTCTTTGGCAGGCAGTAAACAAACAGGCGCTCTAGTCCTGAAGGAGATGGGTAGAGGAAGGGGTCAGGGCAGCAGGGACACAATAGAGCACACCATCCTGACTTCTAGAGGCAGGCTAAAACACTCTTCTGCATCGTATTCTACCTTATCTTGCTCTGTCCCCATGGTACCCCAAATTTAAGATATTAACTATTCCTCTTATTGTAGGGAATTTTTATTGGGAGAGAGAGACAGCAATTTCATGCTGTCATACCTTCAGGTCTGAGAATCCCTCTTACTCTCCATTTCACATGATGGACCGTTGATCAGTAATACTCCAGGAAAGTAAGTTGTTGCCCAAAACATCCCACAGGACATAGCTTTAACTACTGAAAATGCAAATTATTTATAAGGACTTCTTATGTCAGTATGGTCACACCCATAAGCATGATTTTTAATTCATGGTATAAATAAACTCTCTCCTTGGCTATGGGCAGTATCTGTGAGAAGAGATAAAAGCAACATACTTCTTTTTAGTGTTTTTGTGGGTGATCTGAAGTGTTGGATAGGATAATGATATTTAGAGTTAGTACCTTCCCCAAGCAGTTGTGCCCTACTGGTGGGACTGGGAGTAGGTGCAGAAGACCTTGCTCGGGAGCCATGTGCCCCTACCCAAGCAATAAGGCCTGGAGCAAGTTGAATAGGTCCTATATTCTGCTGCCACCAGTATTTTTCACCAAATCATAGCAGGATTTTGCTAAAGACCTTTGCTTTTCAACAACTGCAATGGAAATGGTTATGGTAATGGTAACAGTAAAAATATATCTCTTCTCTGAAGCCCTGATTGAGAACAGTCCTGAAGTTGAAAGATACTACATAGAGAGAGAGTAAAAAGATCAGGATTTCCCTTGAAGAACATCTGCTCTACAGGGACAAAGGGTGAGGGGCAAAGACACAGACCCAAGGTCCCACACTGGGGTAATAAAGCTCACTTAACTTCACACACCTAAAGAAACAGTCTCTCCAGATTCCCTCAGTAAAGGGAAGAGAGGTGTAAGGGTACCTCTGCAGCACATTCATCTGATCCAATTAGGCCCCTCTTTCAGCATGAAATGAATCCCCAGCTGGGGGAACTTCTTACACACCTGCTATTTTTACTGCCAATGAATGTTATTGCCTCTTGCAAGCCTCCTAGGAAAGCAGAGGGAGGCTACTGCAGACTTGGGGATCTAACTTTCCCCTACCAAAATGAGGGCAGATTAACTGACCCAGGGTTGAACGCACACATCGCTTTGCACCTCTGCCCGTCAGAACATCTTTCAAGTGCTCTTTCCCTCTCAAACAGCCTCTGCTACTTTCTAGTGACAGCTGAGGTTTTTTATGCATTACAAATGCAGAGAAAGAGCAGGACTCACACAGGCTCTTGCCCTGCAAATTAGTGACAAAATGCATTGAAATATCTTAGGATTTCCATCAGACTATGAATATTTTTTATATGTCTTTTAAAAGCATGGAAGAGTAATTCTCTAGGGATCAAATGCAAGTATGAAGGATTTTCTTCAGCTAAAATATTATAAAATACTTCACACACTTCACTGAGAGTCCTTTAGAAAGGAATAATGATCACTAGCTGCGTACGAAGAGCTGTGAGGTGCAGTGGGTAAGCAAGGTCAGCAGGTCAGTAAGAGAAGCAGAAAGAGAGCTCAGGCCTTTTGGTCCTGGTACAGGTGGCTCTACCCTGTAACATAATATGTTCTCACAGGGCTGCCTCTCACCAGGCTTTAAACAAAGAAGAACACTGATGGAGCACATACTAGCATTTACATTCAATACAACTATATCTTACACACCAGTGTGACATCTTCACAGACTTTTCAAGGTTAACCAAAAGCATGCCAGAGAGCTGCCCATATCAGCTGAATCCTGGGAGAGTGCATCCTCCACAGTACATGTGGGTTATGAGGAAGGAGAGAATTCACTTACTTGTTATCTTTCATTCAGAGAGGTTTAGAGCTCCTAATTACGCATATGAAAACTATTTTATTATCAATGACTGACAATATGACAAGTATTTTATTTACTCCTATCACATCCAAAACATTTCTGCTATATTGGTCATGTGAATGTGCTCTGTCCCCCACTCCTTCAGAGTCCACTGTAATCATCTTTTGCATCGCTGATAAAAGACAAGCCCCTTTCTTTAGCTAAAGCCCTTGAGAATCCTATGAGGCAACATCCCTAAATATGTTTTCTTTTTCTTGATTAGAAAAAGTAGATTAAAACTGCAGTGTAATTTCATGACTTGTCCTGGATTTATTTTTTTTTTTAACCTTAACCCAAAAATAGCTTTTAGAATAGCTTAATGACTAAATAACTGTGGAAAGAATTGTCTCCAAGGCGGGCACTCCACAAGCCAAAGAACAGAAGCATATGTTTTTTCTTTTTTTTAACCATGATTAATATGATTTTTGGTCATGGAAAATGGAAGAAATAACTCATCCTTTCTATTCTTTAATTGACTGAGCAAACAGTATACCCACCAGCAATGATGAAAAAGCCTCCTCCTGCTTTGTATAGAATGTGACTGGCAAAAGGAGCTGCACAGATGATGAAGAAACTAGCCATCACAATAGTGAGCACTCCCAGGAGCATAAGAACTGTCCAGAAACCTCGGTAAACTGGAGAAAAGGAGAAGGAAAAAAAATTACAGTGCTTTTTAGAATTTAACCAATTTAACAATGATTTTTCTTTACCCCTTCTCTTATCACTTGCTTTGTTAACAAATGAAACATTAATTCTATTTTGCATATCATTATATATCATGTCACCCAAATTAGCTTTCAATGCCGGTCCTTATCTGATGATCCTGGAAAATAGGTTGTAAGTTACCATGAATGAAATCCATCTGATGATTATTTAACAGTATCTTGTAAGATAGCAACTTGACCAAATTTACACTCTTTCAAAAATGGTACACCAAAGCTGAAGCAGTGATTCTTTGGGATAAATGATTGGACTGATATGATTTTACCAAAATTTTCTGGGAAAAGCAGAGAGCTGCAACATCTTGACATTCTTAGTGCTCAGACTATATCACCAATAACAATCTGTACATCCTCTACAATTTACAACCAGATAATACTCCTTATGTATAGTCATATTCAGTAGACAGAAACCTAAAGTAGGAGCAGGGAGAATCTGAGAAATGTAAACAGGGTTTCTGAAAAACATTTATGTGTTTTAAACCAGCCTATTTCTGCTCTAAAGATCTTTGTATTTTATTAGATTTAAATGTGATGTTTCAGAAGCCCCTGTTAGACAGTGCCAAGCAGTGCTGAATTAATGAATGCAGCTGGTGATAAATGAGCTGAGAGTTTTGTGACATACTCTGGCCAAAAGAGTCTTTCTAACAATTAGTTTTTAGCTGGTTAATTGCACATCCATTTAACAAAGTCATCATTTTACAAATGCTACAAGAGTGACATAAATTTCTCCCATGAATTTAAAAATTGGTACATTAACACAACCCATTAGTAAAATTACGAGTTGTAAGGATCTTCATCGTCAGATCTGAAAATCTTGAAGCACTGACAATTCAGTCAGTGAAAAACATTTCCACCCAACTGAGGGAAAGTATATAAGCCAGCTGGCAAGTCAGGAAAAGTGAATCACAAAAGAAACTGCCACTTATCATCTGACAGCACCTACTTACTGTTATGGCAAAACACAACCAAGCAACCATTATACTGGTTTATATCCTGAAAGTTTCGAATTCATACAGCTTGTTAAAGACAGCTATTCCAGAATAATTTGGGTTTGCTCTCATCTGAAATGTGAAGGTACACTAAGCTCACATTTCCCATTAATGTATTCCAGAAGTCTAAAGTTTTTAACTTGACCAGCTTAACTCTTGTTAAAGTATTTACCACCATCCTTGTAAATGTATTAGCTAGATCACATTCGCCACATTACATTAGCCATACTTTTCAAATAGCATCCTTTTCAATCCAGGCAAACATTCAGAGACATAATTTTCCACCACACTAATGCCCCAGCAGATTTGGGCATATAAAGAAGGAATGTGTCTGAAAGTAGCTGGCAGAAGGGTTAAAACTGTGTTTTGGTTCATATCCAATATAAGTTTTCACTCCATATAAACAAAAAAATATGGGAATAGTAGGTAAGAAATAAGGCTATGGCTCAGCAAAGCAGTTAAGTGTGCATTTTACTTTAAGTACTCTACCTCTTACGGGGGTTTAGGCACCTGTTTAACGTTAAACACATAGTTAAATGATTCACTTAATGCAAATAGACAGTGAGTGGAGACCTAGAAAGGTAAATCTCCCAGGTCCTTCAGTCTTGGGTTTCTGAAGCAATTTCATATTATTTTACTCATGGGGCTACTTTGATAAGCTTCGCTGCAGTCCCCAAGTCCATGGGACATTACCTCCTCGTTTAAATCCTAATATCACTAAATCAGTCTATAACCACCCAACTCTTTTACATGGATGGCCCAAGGTACTTCAAAGTCATGCTATATAATAGGACACATTGGCCAAAATGGACCTTGAAAAAGCTATCTTTGATATTATTATGGTCAGTCATGTAAGTCACGCAGCAGTGTTTCTATTTTCTGAATGGATGAGGACACAAGATTCTCCAACATTACAAAATCAGCATCCACTTTCATTATCCGCTCTTCATATAGGAAGCTTTGACGTTTGCTTTCAGTGAAATTTCACGAGAAAAGCTTGATTTGATACTCAAACGTTCTTAGAAACAGAGCACAAAAGGAGTACAAATGTAACTGATGAAAATTTGTTTAAACTTCCCTGAAACTATACAAGAGAAAAGCTATTTTTCCGCTCCGACAGTGTAACTATTTTATGCATTAAGTATGAAATACTGATTTGACCTAGCTATCACTTGAGAGAAGCTTTCATTCTATTTCTCTAGAAATAACTATTTACTCTAGAGAATCATGGATAAATTCTGATTCTCCTAGTACTTGCTTATCAAGCAAATTCTTTCATTAATCATCAATTAAAAAATATAGTGTAGTTGACCTGCACAAAGTCTGATCAAAAATCTGTGACTTTTCAAGCGAAAAACAGCCTCCTCTAACTTGAAAGGCAGTAAGTCATTTGAATAATTTGTGGCACAGGTCTGAAGAAACACCCTACAAGCATTTAGACTTTTCCTTTTATAAGGGAGTTAAAAAGCAACCATTTTTCTGCAAAGATGGTTTCACTTATTTTATACTCTGATCATTTTTGCTCAGATCAAATTTCTCATCTTCTCTGCCTAGATGGGAAGATCACTTCCTACAGGGCTAATCATTCAAAATTACGAGTCAGGCCTACTGCTGTCATTTCACTTAGCTGGCATCTATAGACAAACACAAAAGAAGTGGTTGAAATTAAAGCTTCCTAAGAATGAAATTACTTTTCAAGTCAATGACTCTCTGAGATTGAGGTGAACCCTGACAGATAAAATGCAACAGAAGATGCTGCTTTGAATTATGCTTCTTTATATCCCATAAAGAGGCTGACACCACGATCCAAACAGTCTGTTTCAAGAAATAATGGTTCAGTTGACCTATAAAAAGTGTTAAAACAAGTTTGCACCATTTCAAGTCACATTGCAGTACTTCATAGGATAGCCCATCTTCTGGTCCAGATGACAAGGAGTACCCTTGTCTCTTCCAGGTACTTCACAGATATATTAGAGACACCTACCTCAAATACATGAATTATTCCAAGTATTTCCTACAACAGAAGAAATAAAATACAAGCACTATTGCAGAGTCCAAAGTAAGCATATCGACAGTGTTTGAAATCTTATATACCACTGTTCTGTAATGCAAGAGTACTAAACAGAAGGGTTTGTGATTTGTCTTGGTGACCTGCCCCTTCGTTGAGTACAACATTTGCCTTGGAAATGACACACAGGGCTATAAATAATAATTAAAAAAACCAAAGCAAAACAAAACAAAACAAACAAACAAAAAAACACTTAGGAGAAAACAGCAATACACACAATATGCTATTTTTTGAGCTCCGTACCATTGCACCTGTATGAGAACATTACGGTTGCAATATTTTCCTCAAAAATTGCCTCACCTGTAGTTTTCCCTTGCTACTTTCTTTTCTCTCTAAGGATACTAATTTAGGTCCCCCTAGAGACTTTTGCATTATCTGAAAACTAGAAAAAGTATCTGGGTTTGAGCTAGGGACCAAATTTCAGAGAAATGGTTGGAAATTATCAAAAGCTTCCTTTTTTTAGTATAGTAAATTCCAGGATTGGTTACAAACTGAAGTCGCAGGTTCATATTTTAAAATGTTACTCGTGCATGATATGAAAGAGAAGCAACAATATATCTGAAGAAGTTACAGAGCTGTTTCACCTTCAATGCACACTTCTTGTGTAGCAGTCATGCACACCTCCAAAGCTCCATTATGGTTATTCAGAAACAGGACAGATAAAGACACAAAGCAACACCCTTCTACTATTGCAGATGCTAACATCAGCCTCGTGAAACCATATCAGGTATTTTATTGCCCTTGCTCGCTTCAAGTGTTTTCAAAACTCAGACATCGGACCATATATTTTCTGTGGCCTATCAAAAAAAAAAAAAAACCACCAGACACTTAATATTGAATTTAATATCAATACAAGTTATTAAGCATTACAAAGATGAAAAACCTCTTGAAGGATGTGTGACTACAGTGCCACGTAAACATTACTAAGGATAGGCAAAATTACTTAGAAGTTGCCTTGAATTATCACCCACAAGCTCACATCCCAAAAGGAACAACCTTGTGATCTGATTGTGGATTGTATTTTAGAATGTTTTCTTTTTTCCTCTCTATCCCGACATAAAATACATGAAAGGTGAAACACCTGAACTGCTCTCAATCAGGAACATCTTCTCTGCAGATAAACAAATGTAAATGAGATCATAGATCTCAGCAGCACCACAAGAGACACACCTGGCAACACAGTAAACCTTGCAAGACCTTTCTCAGCGTCATTTAACACCGTTTACTATCCCTTAGTACTAACATTTTTTTCAATAACTTTAACAGTAAAACAAATACAATATTCACAGTATGGATACATTGCTTTCTTAACTACTTCTTACTTTATTGATGCTCAGAGGTCAGAGAGTTCTCCCTTTCCAAATGTACTGTATCTCTCATGGGCAATTATATGACTGTATTACATAACATCATTTTTTCCCCATAGAAATAGACTACTGCTAACATTTCACTTGTACAACTTTTTTTTTTTCAGATTTTATTGCTGATATTTTTTTAGATTTCTTTATGTTAATTTCAAGCCATTAATAAACCTGCCAACAAATTTGATTTCACCATTTTAAATTTAAAAGTTGCTGAATCAGAATTTCTCTTTAGTCCTATAAACATTGTGTATTATACATTATATTAGGCACTACTTGAAATGCTGGCAATATACCCAGTAATGGACAAAATAGGATACTAATAGGAATAAAAGTATTAGCAGTTACAAATCAGAGTATTAAACTAACATGTCAGTGCTGCCCCATTAAATTGCTTCCACTTTAGCTTCAGAAGATGCTGGTGTGACTTACAACAGTTAAGGAATTATTGTTTATTTTCAAATTAAGTTGAAAAAAAAACCTCTCAAAAATAAAATTAATGACTTAGTGACTAAGTGCTAGATTTTTTTTTTTTTTTTTTTTTTTTTTTAAATAATCTCACTATGGCAAATGGTACTATTTCCACAAGCAAGGATTTGGCACATTTTTCAAAAATAGGCCCAGTGTTGTCCTATAGTAAAAGAGTTTTAGAAAAGTGTGATAGTCCTCAGTATTAAGTAATTTAATTACAAGATACCATGCATGAATCTAGTTAAGAGTGAATTTAAGTACTATACTATTATGTTTTCAAAATAGCCTGTTGGGGTAACTAGTCTGGGTATGATTATACAAATTTATGTTTATTTTAGAATGTAGAGGTTGCTACTGTGGCACTTTAATTGTATGGTCAAATTTAATTTTTTTATTCCTAGGTTGTAGTTATGTTTGTGAATCATATAAATAAACCCGCCAGCAACACAATGAGGTGCTAAGTCAACTTAAGAACTGCACACGGTAATAGTTGTCACTATAAACCTCTGTACCATTACAGAAAGTCACTAGTCAGGCTTCCCCTGAGTTCATTTAGATGCCTGTTTCAGGTTAAGATAAACGACATGGCCTAGAAATTTCTTTAAGGACACGAATGATAAATGATGGTTCACACAGCTTTTGACCACACATTACACGACAGCTAGGTGAAGTCCTCCCCACACTGTCAAGATACTTAACAAAACCAGTAAATTAACATAAACATTATAACCATGATTAAAAGAAATAGCTAGCTGCAATGTCAAAACTGTGCTATGTAACCCCTTGAAGGTCATCATGCATCTAACAGAAATGATTAAAAGAAATCTGATACATTAAAGCATGCATTCAAATCTCCAATATATAAGCACTGTTGGCTTTTCTGTCTTTACAGAAATGTAAATGTAATTCCTTAATTCGAAATTCCTCCAAAAGGGTCCCTAAGTCTCTTAAGCCAAACAGACTGTAAAAGAAGTCAAACGCCTTTGGTTGCTCAGAAACTAACAATCCTGTTAACAGAAAGTTAGAGATATTTAGAAAATGTGTTGCATATACATGTCTGATTTTTCTAATGAAGTTTGAAGCTTTTTATTCAGCTGTTTATTTTTCTATGAAAGAGCAGACGCATTATTTTTCATGAGAGAATATTTCTTCTTATCCACTCCTAACTAAAATAGAACTTAATTATGGTAGGACTTGACTAAAAACACAATGATAAACTTGTGTGGGAGATTTGGGTTTTTATAATCCCCAAAAGTGAATATGTCAAGAAAATTATAAGCCATGAAACATGTATCAAGAAACAATAGCAGAACTGAAAAAAAGGAACAATAACCTCAATCTTTTGGTAGTGCCTTTTTATTCTATGTTTAGGTGATGCAGATAACTGGATACACAAATCATTGATGAAATCCTCTTCTTCACGAAACCAAACCAAGGCCTTTTGCCACTGTCTTTACAGAGAAGCATTTCCTCCACTGTGAGTCAAAAAGAAGATACCCTTCTAGCATTTCTTAATTTAGCCACTGCAGTTGCATCAAGGTTTTAAAAATGTGTTTGCCAAATACCACGTGCAGGACTGACTGTCAAACTAGAGTAAAGGAGAAACAAGTTTTGAACTAACAGAAGAGCTGAAGAATAAACTTCTTCATAAAAAGTTGTGAAAGGCTCTTGAATAAGCATACCTGCTCTAGTAAATAACTCAGCTTGGATGCTGAAAATTAACTGTAGGCATAAAAAAACCCAAACCCTCTTCAGTTTTAATGAGCTTGAAAGCAATCCAACTGTATCTATTTATATAGCAGGAATGGCTCTGAATATACTCTACCTGGGCCAGCATCTATAGCACAATTCTGCCTATTTTTAATCTTCTAATATGAAATATAGATAGGAAAATTATATTTGATCAGTGGTTCTTCTGGTAAACATTAACTAAAATTAATTAAACTTTTGATGATATTCCTTCTCCTTTCCTTTTTCTTTGTTTGTCCACTTCTGTGTAATCATGCAATATAATTTGAGGAACCTTTGTGAATGTATGAGTGAACGGTGGAATACAAACTCTGTCTAGACTATTAGGAGCTGATGACTCTGTCACTTTCAAATGGAAAGATAAACTGTTCTAGATGTGCTGTAAAGTTACAGATTAGATCTCCGAATGGTGAGGTCTGAATTCTTCCTTGACAAACAGTTCACAGTTTTTAAAGATTAACAGAACAATTATAGTTCCCATTTATTTTCTTTTTTGTGTCTGCAGCATAAAAATTGGATTCCAAAGGACAATTCAAAGTTATCAAAAGCATAATTACAGCTTCAGGACAGGGAGGGATCACTTAGCAAGGTCAGAGGAATGTAGCATCCACACAGCATAGATTGTTTAAAAGGTCATATGAAATAGGTATCAGAAGTGATTAACTTCAAATATATTTGCATAAAGCTCTCAATCTGATGAAATGTGCCCAATGTTTTTAATTAGCTTCTAAGTTTGGTAAAAACAGAGCTTTCTAGGCATTATTCAAACATAAGGTTTTTAATTATTGTGTATCTTTCACATACATCTATTTATATGTTTCACTGTTATAGCCCTAGATTTTCTCAGTGAATTATATTTGACTTACTTAGCTGAATAAACTTAGACAGCATGAAGGCCCTGCTCATCCTTCCTCATACAGTAAAAATGCAATATATTTCCACATGTAATTATTTATTTAACAGAAAAAAAACACCAAAACAGTTTTATTGAAATACATGACAAGAAGTACTTCAATGCATTCAGTCCAAGGAAGATACTTACTTGTCAGAGAGAAAAAGCACTAGAAAGGAAATGGCTTTTTTTTAGAAATTACCTCAATTCTGCCATCAAGCTTAAAGCTAAGCATTCATTTAAGTGCTTTGTTAAATAGTGTCTTAAATATGTATGTTGTAAAATTATGAGAAGTATGAAACGCCAAAACTCTATTAATTAAACTGTGTGGAGTGATAAGGCTGTTTTATTCCGAAGCATCCAAATTCTTTTCTTGAAACTATAGGCATTGTATCCATTTGCACCAAAAACAATACTTACTGATTGCAGAGTCATAGGAAGTTGAGTTGTGTTCATCTCGGAGAAGAGGAAATGGTGACAGGTAAGCATGTGTACAGTTCTTAGAAGGTGACTGGTTAGCTAAAAATGAAAGAAAGCTGAAGATTAATATTTTACTGCCTCAACAATATTTTATGTCTATTCTTCAAAAGGGCAATCTGAGTTCCATAGGTTCTTTCCTAGGCAACAGCTTACAGTGGATTTGGTTCAATAAGAGATACGAGTCTTGTTATCCAAACAAGGATATTCCTTAAAGAACAACACAGATTTCTACTACGGGAACAGTAAATTAGCCATGCTGAAGGTTATACTGCAATTTATATGTTCTGCATATGTATGCTTTTGTAGCCATATGTACCCTTCTCCTTTGAAGGTTAATTATGTTCATCTCATTACTACATGTCCTACCAAAAACAAAAATTCCTGAAATTACTGTTCTCTTGTGAAAGGACAGTGAAAGTATCAAGCATCTTCAGAAAGTTTACAGTGTCCACAAATATGAGTTTAGTCCATGAAATTAATATCCCCCAGAAAAGGGTAATTTCACCCTTTATATTAAATATTTATAAAAACATCACTTTCTTCCTGGTTAAAGATAAAAGCTGACTATAACTTAAACCGCATTTAAATTTCAGATTTCTGACCACAGAATTCTCCAGATAAATAACAAGGGGAAATTACCTACAGAGAATATTACATTTACCACATAAGAATAAGGAATATATTTAACAAAATATGGTTTACTATAATCAAATTTGTATGATGGCACCTGCTTTTCACAAGGATTATGGAAATCTTGCAATAAAGAGAGGAGGCTCTCTATCTCAGAGGGAGTGTCAAAGACAGTAAAAGAAGTTTTGCTTGAACTTCTTCATGGGGGATTTTGGTTGTGAAATACTATCTGATCATCCAGAATCTTGGCACGTAGTGAAAGAAAGCAAAGTGTCATCTGTGAATCTAATAGAAGAATTCTGGAGACGGTGTGTCCTACACCATTTTCACAGTAGTATTGCCCATTCTTTCCTTAACCCACTTGTAGAACCTGACGGAGAAATTATCCAAGCAAAAATTCATAGTCCCCACTAACCACTAAGCTCCTTTTTCCCTCCATAACAGAAATAAACCATCTGTTCAACAGTAAATGGCAAGAGACTGTGTAGATAAGAACGGACTCAGTTAACAGAGCAGCCATAACAATCACAGCGTAATTTGATAGTTAAACTTGCATCATTTTGTCCTGGGGTTTCCTTTAGTATAGATTACAAAAGTGTGTGTCAAGAATTTATTTTAGGGTAGCTGAAGAGCATGATCACCAAAGAACTCATATGAAATCAAATAATTCACAATATAGGAAAAAAAAGAAACACCATCAAACCCCAAAAATTTTGAGAACAAACTACTGTAGATAATGTTAAAAGAAAAATTTACTTACTATACCAGAAATTCCACATGCTGGCATTATTATCTCCTACATTTCCACTGAACCAGCACCTCCAGAAGAAACCTTCATGATGGAAAGTGGCCTTCTCTCCCTACAGATGAAGAAAAAAAAAAAAAAAGAAAACCATTATCATGCAAATTTTGAATGGCTGAAAGAAATAAGTTCAACCTGAATTAGACATTGAGGTAAGAAAAACTATCATAATGACACACACCTGTGTGAATGTAGGTCAGCTATAGCATATCTAAACAGACATACCTGAAAGAATATCAGGTATGATATTCTTTTTTTTGAAAAGAATATCCTATTGCAAAAACAGTATCACAAAAGAAAAATCATTTTAGAGGTGATTACAACTGATTATAAGAATAGGTTTGTAAGCCTCCAGGTGGTCAAAATTAGTATATTCAAAAGTTCATATAGAAGTAAATTCTTAGAAAATAAACACATCCAAGAAACCTATATATACAATTATTATTATAAGTAAAAAAGTCCATACTAACCCCAGCATCTTCAGGTGCTTCTAAACACGTTCCTATTTCCGTAGCAAGAAGCCAATAATCAGTTCCAAATGCCACCAAAAAAAGCAAAACCCCCAGAGCTGCAAAGAAGCCTCCAAAAAATATCCCCACACTCAGTTTCATTTTCAAAGATTTGGGGGTTTTGTGTTTTTTGGGTTTTTTTTAAATGGTTAATTACTTGAAAAGTTGGTAGTAAAGTAAAAAAAAAAAAAATTATTGTGAAAGTGACTAAAAAGCTGTTTGGAGAATAAAGCTCATATCTGAAAAAGTTTCTCTTCACTTGACTTTCTGTCCGTGCCCTTCTTCCCAATACGCTGTGAGTCGATTCGTGTCTCTGAATTTGTGTTTCATGTGGCTGACTCAAGTCTGACAGACGAAAAGGGCCTTCTATTTTAGGACACTGATGGCAGAGCTTCACTCTGTTTCGCTGTCTGGGTGAGGCCAGTCAGAAATAGCTGACCTTCCCCTAACTAATCAGGGATTGACTTGAAATATTATTGCAGCTGGTGCACCAACATCAGCGGAGATGGAGTTGCAATGGCTCTGTCCATCCACATGAACTGCATTACAGAGCACATAGTAGGAGCAAGGACTTCCAAAGTTCAGGCCTGGTGGTGAATGCTTCCTTAGCTGCTAGCAGGGAAGGAAACACCTACAACACTTTGGAAGTTACTATGTCAGGGTTTAAAATGAAGGCTGAGGGTTTTTTATAGAATTTTAAAACATGATAGCCAAATTGCAGAGATGCCTTTGAAAATCCCAAGTATTTTTGCAAAACAATTATCTTTAAAAAAATACATCTTTAACATAATAGCTTTAAAAACACTAAATATGAAAGCATTTAAATGCTTTACTTATTCAGATGCATCTTATCAAAAATGTATGCAGTTAAAAATTCCTTCCAGCACCTCATAAAAAAACTTCCATCTTTTAAAACAAGAAGACACTTTTCTATACTCATGCTTTGCCCATTAGGAAAAGTGATGAGATAGCACATTTAAATTCTAAATAATCACTGCACAAGAAAAAGGCTTTTTCTACAACTTCTCTTCATGCCAAGCAGGCCTTCCAATCTTCTCTAGTGGCTTACAGGTCATGCTACTATAGAGATTTATTGAGTTTATACTGTGCACCAGATCCTGCATTCATTACCCAATAAAATTTCTTTGGCATTCTCTATCAGTAGAATAGAAAATATTCCACTGAAATTGCATGCTGGTAAGTACTGGGATCAAGAGAAGAACGAAGCCAGTTTACTCCCAAAAACACTTGTCACAAATTGTATTGCAAAAGACTTAGGTCTTCAGAGGGATTTCTACTTCCAATATCCCAGTGTTTGTTTGGACAATGCAGCAGCATGCTTAAGGAGAGTAAGGAAAATACTGCTTCTACCATCTCCTCTCATTTCTAGACAGATGAACAAGTGCTGTGTCCTCAGTGTTTCTATAACACTACATTATCTGCATAACGCCATATTCACATTTTTTACGAGTCATATTTTATTCAAACATGATACTATACTAATTCCATACACAAGCATATCTGACATTTTGTGCCCTTTTTGCATTTCAGAGTTTCAGTGTATGCAGAGCAGCAAATGAATACTCAAACAGACTCTTTTTTGCCATATTTGCTTTTCCTGACAGCCACTGATGAAGTTCATTGTGCTATAGCAGAAAGACTTGTTTGAAAACATCATTCTGGAAAGGGATGTTCTATCATTCTTTACTAGAAGAAAAGAAACAAAAAAAAAGTCAGGAAAAAGAAGAAGACATAGAATGTGATATACAAGTAAATAAAAAATGATTACTTGCAATTTAGAATAACACTTTAACTCTTGGTCAACCTTGAAGTGGTCAGGCAGGTGGATTAAATTATTTTTGTAGGTCCTCTCCAACTTAAATATTCTATTCTATTCTATTCTATTCTATTCTATTCTATTCTATTCTATTCTATTCTATTCTATTCTATTCTATTCTATTCTAATGTGTCCAAAGCAGAAAAAAAAAAATCAGTTCAGCACTAACATGCCCAAATTTAGACTATTTCACGTGAGCTACATGTCTTTCCATTATAATCAATAGTGACCACGCTCAGCTGAGCCAAAGGTCCATTCATCACAACCGAGATTAGACTCCCAGAGCTCAGTTCCATCACTCAGGCAGACATCTTGCTTTAGCAGTTTCCACAGTGTCCTGCTGGCTCTCAGATGCCACTTCAGAAGGGCATAATTCCCTCCCTGTTTTAAAATATATGCTAGCCCCACACACGGGTCTTATGTACCCTCTTTCACCTTGAATGACACTAGGACTCTACCTGATGGTGAGGGAATCATGTCTGGAAAGAGGGAAACAGTTGCCTTACTGTCATCTCCCACAAATGCTTCAAGATGTCAGAGGCAGGTATGACAAGGGACTCAGAGGAGATCAACACTTTTCTTGAATGACAACTACAGTCCAGGTTCACACCAATTAAAAGTGATCCTAGTTACTTCTGTTTAGATGGTTAAGCCAGTCTCCATTAACCTGTCAGGTCATTCTGGAGGCACTGCTGAGTGTTTTAGCTGGACCTCCATCAACTCAAATGGCAACAAAGATCTGTATTTTACACAGAGATATCTGAATGCACAGGTCTTAATCTGGAACTGAATCCCACTCAGTGAACTGGAGTTCCCAATCATTTTGCTGTTGCATTGGCCCAAAGTTCACAAATTTTATTCTGTGAAGTTCAGAGATGTAAACAGTCACAACATAAAAACAATCCACGATAAAAAATTCTTCATGATCTCCATTAAAAAAATAATTCCAATGTACTGTTGAACATAATGCCATTTAGCTCATCCTAAATAAATTCACAATGCTGAAATTACTTTTTCAATGTTACAACAGAAGTAAAAGGAGAACTCCAGCCACCTGAATCAGTCATTGAACCACAATTAATTAAAAAAAAAAAAAAAAAAATCAAGCAACTGGTTCCAGTCATATTGCACCTACCTGATTTCAGGTCAGAAAAGTCAGGAACTATGTCAATCCATTTCTACATGAGAGTAACTTCACTGAAATCACTTTGCATGAAAAGTTTCACTGAATTCAAATGACAGCTGAGTTACTGCCTGTGCAGTGTAAGTATTTATTTTTAATATACTGTACATGCACTCTGGTCTCAGTTTAGCATGTTCATCCTGAGAGGATCTAATTTAATTATTCTCTTTTATATTTATGGCACATTCTCTGGCAGTGTTATCTTCCAAATACTCTAACATCGCCAGTATTATGCCCAGCTATGTCAGGAATGAATCAGAAGCCATGTTAAGACTTGTTATGTCAGCTTAAAAATTCATGTTATCCACTACTTGAATATTCACAGAAAGTCTCAGGGCACTTTTTCTTTAATTAAATTAAATTCTGAAGATTTCTCAATAGAAGACAGAAAGTTTCAAGGCAGAGAAAATAGGGACAGGGTTATCAAGCCAAAACAATCATTATTCTGCTTCTTAAACAAGGTCATTCCCCAAATCTTTCCAAAATTCCTAAATTTCTACAGAAATACTGCCATTTTAAACCAAAATAACTTAGCCAAATTTATCCCTACTATAATGACAATGAAGTAATTAAATGAGTTTTAATAAACAATCACTTTGGCCAATTAAGCCCAACATTCATTGATTTTGTTGATTTATAGAGTGAAGATTGAAGGCCCCAACATAATGGATGGATTCCAATCTCATTTAACAAAGCTGGCAAAAGTTTTGTGATTTTATTTCTGCTTATTCACCAGAAGATAGAGCTAAATTAACTCCTGAATCTGCATATTTTGTTTATGTATCTAAATAGCTCCAGCTTCAATATAGTGTCTGAGCCCCATCTTGTATTTAAAAATAAAAAAACCCCCAAACAAACAACCACCAAACATGAAACCAAAACAATAGCAGGCTGTGTCTTTCTTCCTTTTGCATCTGAAGGGAAAAAAAGCTTGATTAGTTTATGGGAAGGAGAGGTTGTTTATTTGCTTGTTTATGTTTGTGTGTGATTGAGTAAATGTCGTGTGCGTATGTTTGGAATTGGCAGGCAGCTCCTTATCTGAGCTGGCAGATATGTCCATGATCTAAAAACAGCCTTTTAGAACTGGCTGCATGTCTTACTGAACACCAAGGAACAATTTCAGCAGCTGCCTCAAAGTCCATTTACTGAAAGTAACAGTCCTTCCTGTTGAAGGAAAGAATTCTGAACAGCAATAGGAGTATCTCACCCACTGATACCAATCCTCATTCTGTCCATCTTCCCCAGCTGGGCAGTATGTTATCTATTGCATCTACATGATCCATTGTCAGCAAAGGGCAGACATATAGAATATAGTACACCTTGTTCACTAATTCTCTGGCGGGGATTCATCTTACCTAACACTAGACAGCTGCAGGGAGGCTGTCTCCAACTAAGCTGCTCACCTCGGGTTTCCTCTACAGTCACATCACCACTTTTATATCACAGTCCATCTGACCTATTTTTGGATGACTACTTCAATGTGCAAGGAATTGTGTCCTAAAAGCACAATTACTTTTCTTGGTGTTTGTTTTGTTTTGCTCACTGACTAAGAGATGGTCTGGAAAAACTAATTTGAGATACGACCACTTAAATCTTAATACTATAGTAAATCAGACAACAAATCACAGAATCACAGAATTATTGGGGTTCAAAGGGACCTCTGGAGGTCATCTTGTCCAACTTCCCTGCTCAAGCAGGACCACCTGGTTTCCCAGAACCATGTAGCTCTTGAATACCTCCAAGCTTGGAAGCTCTAGAAACTGCCTTGGGCAACATAAGTCAGTACTTGGTCACCTTCACAGAAAAAAAGTGTTTCCTGATATTCAGAGGGACCCTCCTGTGTTTCCCTTTGTGCCTACTGTCTCTGTTCCTGTCACTGGGCATCACTGAAAAGGGCTTGGCTCCATCTTCTTTATACCTTCCCTTCAGGTATTCAGATAAAAATCCCCCTAAGCCTTCTCTTCTCCAGGCAGAACAATTCCAGCTCTCTCAGCTTTTCCTCATAGGACAGATGCTCCAGTCCTTTTATCACCCTAGTTGCCCTTCATTTCACTCTCTGCAGTATGTTCATGTGTCTCTTGT